TCGCAGTGCCATTGGGATTTGCGCGGCCTGGGTGGGAAGTGCGTCTGCGTGGCGCCGTGCCACTGGGGAGCGCGAAACATGCTGATGTAAAGGCGGCGTGTCGCTGGTGAGCGGGATGATTGGTGGTATGTCCTGTGATATGTTTGCTCCTAGTGTATGGGCAGACCGTGTGGTGAAATTACGTTCGTGATGTCGCAGTGCCATTAGGATTTACGCGGCCTTGGTGGGAAGTGTGTTTGCGGGGCGCTGTGCGACTGGGGAGCGCGAAACATGCTGGTGTAAACGCGGCGTGTCGCTGGTGAGCGGGATGATCGGTGGTATCATGTGATATGTTTTTTTCTATAGTGTGTGGACAGACCCTGTGGCGAAATTACGATCGTGATGTCGCAGTGCCATTGGGATTTGCGCGGCCTGTGGGAAGTGCGTTTGCGTGGCGCCGTGCCACTGGGGAGCGCGAAACATGCTGGTGTAAACGTGGCATGTCGCTGGTGAGCGGGATGATCGGTGGTATTATGTGATATGTTTGCTTCTAGTGTGTGGACAGACCGTTCATGATACCACAATTAATTGAGGCATTCTGTTGCTACAATTGTGGCCCGTAAGAGTGACCCACAAGAGTGTCCCGTAGAAGTGTCCCACAAGAGTGTCCCAAGAGTGTCCCACAAGAGTGTCCGACAAGAGTGTCCCACAAGAGTGTCCCACAAGAGTGTCCTACAAGAGTGTCCCACAAGAGTGTCTTACAAGAGTGTCCCACAAGAGTGTCCCACAAGAGTGTCCCGTAAGAGTGTCCCACAAGAGTTTCCTACAAGAGTGACCCGCAAGAGTGTCCTACAAGAGTGTCCTACAAGAGTGTCCCACAAGAGTGTCCTACAAGAGTGTCCCACAAGAGTGTCCTACAAGAGTGTCCCGCAAGAGTGGCCCGTAAGAGTGTCCCACAAGAGTGAGTGACCCACAAGAGTGTCCTACAAGAGTGTCCCACAAGAGGGTCCTCCAAGAGTGTCCGACAAGAGTGTCCTACAAGAGTGTCCCACAAGAGGAGTGTCCCACAAGAGTGTCCTACAAGAGTGTCCGCACGAACCCACAAGAGTGTCCTCCTTGGCGAGACACTAGCGTGGACTCTTCCTTTTCGGAAGGAATACAGCTGTCGGATCACTCCGCGGTCGCCGATAATCATGGACCAGCAGAGAAGTGGTGGCGGTCTGCGCGGGTCACGGGCCAGTCCAGACGCCAGCTGCTACAGGCAGCAGAGAAGTGTTAGATGCCATGATCATGCCATGGTCCTGGAGATGACCTGGGATCCGGCGGCGGCGCAACAGGCTGTGTTGGAGAGTCGCAAGTGCGCAGTGACGCAGCGGCGTCGGCAGAGTCCCCGACGTGGTGTCGCGTGACTCGGTCATTGACACAGTGGCGCTTGATGACGCGTCGACAAGCGCAAGGCTGAAGTTGTCTCTGCAAATTTCGTTCAACTCAATTTGTTTTTGGCCGACAGTGACACTCCGCCGTCGCATGAAAGATTTCCGGACAAGAAGGAGCAGAAGCTGCAAATTGGGGAGAGCGGGGGTGAAGGTCGAAGTGTGGCCACAAGAGCGGTCCGCAAGAGAAACAACTATTGGCCCTGTATTTTCGATCTTGTTTGCCTGCTCATGTGGCTGACGAACCTCGACGTTAGCGAGCTGGACTAGAAAAAACATGACACACGCAAGCACTTTTCGAACGTGTTTGCGTTCGGGTTCGTGGGCTCCATCTTGTTTGAGTCACCCCGACACTGTTGGTGAGGTGCCTGGCCAAAAAGCACTGCAAGAAAGTATCACGGGTGAGGATCATTTGTTTTCCAATTCCGGCTCACGTGCAGAATTTCTCAACCCCGCGAAATCCTGTTTTTAGACAGGTCAAGGATTTTGTTTTCAACTTGACCCGATGGGATGAGCCTTCCCAGTTCGATCAGGTTGATCGAACACACGTCGCCCGATTGCTGCGGGACAAGGGCCGGGGGTGAAGGGATTCAAGTCTGAAACATCTCAAGAAGTCCGGAACCTTGAATATATGCTCAAGACTGGATGTTCTAGACTGGAACATTCAAGTCTGGTTGTTCTGGATGTCTCGAATCTCCTTGAAGACAGGTTTCCAAGCAACCTCCACCCGGACCAAGAGGGTACGGTGACACCGAAAACGATACCCCGGTGCGACCCGATCGTGCAGACGCCGTCTCAACGACAGTGCAGGTGTATTGTCTCGCAGATCACGGGGGCCGTGCTCTTTGGTGGGCGGCCCAGGACGGTGTTCTCTTCAGGTGGATGTAGAGTCTGGTTACGTCTGAGGTGGTTGGAATCCATCAATGATCAGAAGTGTAGCTCAGGATCTACAATTATCGTGCGAAGCTTTGAAGCTTGGTGGTGAAGCCACATTTAGGTTGCAGGCCATCACTATTAGGTTGAAGGCCATCGCTATTAGTTTGGAGGCCATCGCTATTAGGTTGGAGGCCATCGCTATTAGGTTGGAGGCCATCGCTATTGGGTTGGAGGCCATCGCTATTGGTTTGGAAGCCATCGAATCAGGTTGGAGGCCATCGCTATTGGGTTGGAGGCCATCGCTATTTGGTTGGAGGCCATCGCTATTGGGTTTGAGGCCATCGCTATTAGGTTGGAGGCCATCGCTATTAGGTTGGAGGCCATCGCTATTAGGTTGAAGGCCATCGTTATTAGTTTGGAGGCCATCGCTAAAAGGTTGGGGGCCATCGCTACTAGGTTGGAGGCCATCGCTATTAGTTTGGAGGCCATCGCTATTATATAGTTTGGAGGCCATCGCTATTAGGTTGGAGGCCATCGCTATTAGGTTGGAGGCCATCGCTACTAGGTTGGAGGCCATTAGGTTGGAGGCCATCGCTACTACGTTGGAGGCCATCACGATTAGGTTGGAGCCAATCGCTATTAGGTTTGTGGCCATCGCTATTGGGTTGGAGGCCACCGCTATTAGGTTGGAGGCCATCGCTACTAGGTTTGAGGCCATTGCCATTAGGTTCCTTTTGCTACTAGGTTGAAGGCCATTTTTTTTTACGATTATCGTGCGAAGCTTTGAAGCTTGGTGGTGCTCCAAAACTATTGCGTAACGAATCAAACCGGTGGAACATTTTAGGTCGCGCCTGGTTTTTTGCTGCTAAGGCTTTCTGCTGTCGTGCATCACAGCAGTGCTTGAGTTCACCAACCCCAGTGAGTTGGAGCACAAGAAGAGGATGGCTGAGATCAAGGAGAGACCTGCTCAGTTGCCACGTTTTTTTGGATGATCATGTTATTGGCCACGGCTGTTGGTAGCCACCTATACTGACTCTACTGCCTGCTTGCACTTAGGGGATGCACTGCTGTTGGGAAAGTAATAGGATGGCCAGCTTTTCCCTTTGTGTTCAGGTCTTGGTGAACAACAGGACCTCTCACCTTCCAATCAATTTGCCTCATGCAACCCGCCTCCAACGGCTTCCACAAATGATCTTTCGTCTCCCACTAAAGACCTCACCGAACTGACCGGGATGAGCTGCGACCCCGGGAACCGGAACTCCTTCTCGAGAAACCACCACGACTTCTTCAGTGAGTCAATACCTGTTCTCGGAAGGTCGCGCAGATATTTTTTGCACAGCCCTATTTTTGACACACATCATCTTGGATTCATACAGTTCGGATGCACACGCCGCACTTCTCACTGAGTAAGTTTGATCTAGCAGCACGTGATCAAAAGAACTCCTTTTGTTCCACTGTGGCAAGCCAACTATTTCAATTCACCAAAGAGGCACATGGAGGAAAAGTATCTGAAGTCCAAGCAAAGCCTGTTGCAACATTTTGTCCCATTTTTCTCCTTGGGCCGAGCCCGCGTCCGAATCGCTTCGCCAGAACTGGTTGCGTGGCCGAAGCCTTCCCCAGAACCTGAAGATGCAGGCATGTGAGGGACGCGTGCGACGTTGGACCTGGGCAATGCCGGCACGTTCACCCGTGGACCTGCGGGTTACCAGAGTCGTTAATGAACAGAATGACCCTGTCCCATGAACAAAATCCCGGTTGATCCCCTTTGACTTAAGAAAGCCGTCCGACTCGGAGTTTCTTCGCCAGTGGTGTTCTGTTCTGAGGAGGGTATCTGTGGATTCACCGGCTGATTTGCTTGCGAAGCAGACATGTGTTGCTTAAGGTTGCAGACATAGAGTGGATGTTGCGGTTGATGCTGGAGTTGTGCTTGGCCAAACAGG